TTACAGTCTGGAAGTCTTTGGCCATGTGAACTGAGGTTCTACACTGAGGAGCTCTTTTCCTATACTGGCAAAGGTATCTTAAACATAAACGAAACTTGAGTTTAAACGGTTTCAAGTTTAAGGGCTTCCCGAGATATAACTTGTGGCGAAAAATGCCAGTAGTTGGGATAAGTATATTTCTGGGTCCCATAAATTTAGATTGTGGGTTTTTAGAGTCGTACTCATTTAACAAGACGTCCCCATTTTCTCTTTGGGTGGAGGTCGCCAGTATTTTGGATAAAAGTATGCTGGCGTAGAAGCTTTGGCTTTTGGGACTTGGGGATGTCATGGGTTCAACAGCTGCAGGAGCGACCCATTGAATGTGCCTTTGTCCAGAAGCCACAGCAAGACGCATCCGAAGATCATGGACGCGTATGCTTCAGTTCTGTTCGATCTCGATCGCAAGGCTTTGGCAAAGCAGCCAGTGCTGTGCATTGGACTTGCCCAGGACGTTTAAGCGTAGAACAGTTGCTCAACATCCCCCTCCAGGCATGCCAATGAGTCATTCTAGCATTTGACCTTTGAGGACGTTCGGGGGGGCGTCGAATTTGTGCGAGCCCGCGCAGTTATGAAGGACATGTCCCTTCGCAGCTTTGTGTTGGATTTGCACAATATCGATGGCAGCAAAGTTGCTAGGCATGTTGATTTACGGACGGTTGGCGCAGATGTTTGGTAATTCCCACATTGACATCATATCATTCCCTTGCTTGTTTGAAATATTACCATCGCAGTTGACAGGCTTCACTTGACAAAGCTCGCCAAATCTGGTCCTCGCTGGAGACCTTCGCTGCTGGTAACAACAAGATCTTACAAGATTTCGAGCATCGTCTCAAGGCCGTTTGGACATGCTAGATAGAGCTTTCACACATTTTCTGGGGTGCTTGCAGGTTTTCACTTCCGACGGCGAGAAAGCAGAGCCATTGTCGGCACGGTTCTGCAAGGACTGCCTGGGTTGCCTACATGCGGTGACGCTAGGTTGGAGTAGTTTGCAGGCTTCCTTCTGCCCGCCCATTGCTTGGTGTGAGCTCATGCTTGGGACCAACCTAACAAATGCCGTATCCCTGGCAGGAACTGGGCCATCTGAAAGGCCTAAAGTCAATTCTTCGGTGCCAACTTCACGCGGGCCAAGGAGGTCTAGAGAAAGCGCTACAATCGGACGACTCGTGTCAGGAACTCGTCAAGAATCTTATAACGGCTTATTCTCCGTCGGATGACGACGGCGACATGGGGTCGCTGGCCCGTGCCATGAAGAACTCGCACAAACTTCGACAGATGTTTCACAAGGCGTCAGCCAGTGCCGTTGAGAATCTGGAGGCCAAGCTCCAAACCTTGGTGTCTTTCCGCTACGCTCCCCAGAGATTTAATTCTGTGTTGGAGATTGCGCAGCTGGTGGTGCTTCATGTTCGTCCGCTGATCCACACGCTGGTGCAGATTAAAATTACTGAGCCCAAGAAGGTCAAATGGTGCGAGCGAATGCTCAGATTCTTTACTGGACCAAAACTTCTTCTCCTTGCAATGATTGCTGAGCTTGCGGCATCAGCAGCCCGCTACAATCATCGTTACGATAATGTCGGAGGACAACCCACGCAGGTGTCCAGATCCGCGTATTGGTACGCGACGCTCGCTGACGAGCTTGAGAGACTCTTTGGGTTCTCGCAAGGGGAACCGTTAGTCCTGGCGCCTCAATATTCAAAAGGGTTTGTTAGCATCTTGCGCAGCTCCTATGATGTTCTCGTCGATGAATCCGTGGTGACAGGAGGCCATCTGCAGTTCTACAGGTCGGGTCTGCGCACTGAAGACAATCTGCGAAAACGTATAGCCGCAGAGCTGGGTTCCATACAAAATGTAGTCAAGATTTATCTGGCCGCTTTGCATCCGGGTGATCACAGCGTTGCATCTGCTCTTCGTCCGTTTGACACGGAGCACTGGCTGGAAAACTTCTCGGACGAGTGTCTGCTAAAGCCTCAGCTTGAGACTTGAGATGTCAAGGCTGTTCATGATTCGCAGTGAGGTTATTACCTATACCAAGTGACCAAGTCAGTGTATAAACCGAGGCCAACGACCTTCCAGCCCTTGGCCGAGATTCTGGAAGCAGATGTGTCCCGGCTTCCGTTCCTGTCGCGTTGCGCCATTGCATTGTCGGGGTCCTTGGCTGCTACGCGCTGTGAGGCACAAACCCTGGCAGATGAATACTTGACTTGCCGCCCAACAGTCTTGCACTTGCGGAGGAGCAGGGATTTCAGCATTGCCCAATTGCCATTTCCCTTCATTTGTGATCACATGTGTGCGGGAGGAACGGTGTGACTGATCAAGCGTGGCTTCAAGCTGCCAAGCATTGGTCGGACAAGCTTCCATTGCTGAGAGAGGCAGTCTGGCGCTGAGACTCGGATGCTCGCCCGCCTTTTTTCTTTGTGGGATGTCACCCATTCATCGCCCAGGTTGCCTTTGCGGCTGCCACTTTCGCGTCCACGAGTGAGATCGAGCAGCAGTTTTCCTTGGTGCAGATGCTCAGTAGCGGCAGAAAGGCAAAGACAAGTGTTAGTCATCTTCGCAGCTTCCTGAAGTGCAGGCTAAATGGCTACTTGGCTGCACTCTACCGGCTCGATCAGTTAAATCATGTAGTAATCATATGCTTGTGATAAGCAGTGTAGCAGGGCAGTGCTTTCCATGGAGCATTTTTCTTGAGAAGCAGTCAAGGTCTTCCCCCTGCGGAATTTGTTGCATGCCATCAAGTGGACGGCTCTGCAGTTGGCCGGTACGTACCTTCAGATCATTGCTTCCAAACGCAACGTGCTTTCTTGCAACTTTATGGTGGTGGGAAGAACGTATCAAAATCCAGCCTCCCCAAGCGCATCCAGAAGCGCAAGCAGCAGGATGAGCAGGCAGCCGACAGCAGCGCCCGTGTGTCAATGGTGGGCCTGAAAAGGCAGAGACAAGTTCAGCTCAAGAATTTGCAGCCAGCCACTGATGTTGCCGATCTGGAGCAGCTCCAAACTGCAGCCGCAGCGAGCTCAGCTGATCGAAAGGGGGCGAAGCATGAGAAGCTGGCAAAACGGCTGCGAAATCTGCAGAAAAAGCCGCACGGGTGCAGAAGTTGCTCTTGTGTGTTTGCTTCCTAGCCAGAATTCTCCATTTTACTACCTTACCTAGTACAACGGCTTAGAGCTTTCGATTTCGGACTTCCGGGGCTATGATACAGTAGGGCTCCAGCTGGATGATTTTCAGCTTGAGCAGTCCGCAACACAAGGAAGAAGCAGCTCTTCAAGGAAGATGCGCTCCCTTTTGGCAGGCCAACCTCCGCAACCGAGAAGCTCCAGAAACATTTGGAGCGGGAAAGGGCCATGAAAGCTGAGCTGCAGCAGATGCAGCTGACTGAGCTGCGGTGCGTTTCGGAAGGCCAGCCGAACCTTCAGCCAGGCAACATTTGTGTCGTGGCCATGACGGCTGTAGATGGCGAGGCTATTGAAACAACTCTCGGTTTGAGGGCGTATGTGTGGGAGAACAGCACGGAGCAGCTTCGGTTTCTGATCCACTTCGAGGTGCTCTGGTATGCCTCCAGCGAGGAGTTGGAAGAGGCGATGACTTTGGGACCGCGCAAGAATGCAGACATGTCTTCTTTTGTCTTGGGGACCCGACTCCTGGGTGGTTATATTGGCACACGACATTGGTTGGACGTTTGCAGATCTACAGGACGCGTGCTGCAGCCAGTGTTGCGCCTGTCCCGTATGCTCGGCAGTCCGACGGAGGTTTGTTTTCACAAGTCTCTAGAGACAGGGCCTCTCGACGTTGCGGCTGTCATATCACGCTGCTTGGAAGCTGCAACCAAGGCCGGTAGACCCAGTTCATGGCGACTTCGGACCGCTTGGAAAGATGTNNTGCTTTGTGCTGGTGTCCGATTCTGTGATGGCCCAGCCTGAGACTTTGAAGCATCTTGTTGAAAAGGCCTCGAAGGAAGGCAAACTGGGATCGCCTTGCAGTGCTCTGCACCTTTTCCACCAGCGCACCGAGTGGGTATCTTAAGCAGCAAGCCAGAACTTTGCAAATTGTATTCAGAGAGCCGTAAATGCTGTAGGGTACCCACATGGAATGAGCACGGATTCCTGAGACCATCTGTGGCGCTGCCGCCTTGGAAACAGCGGCTCTATTCACCAGTCTGCCTGAGCATTCGCAGTGGGAGAGTTGATTGCAGGTACGTTGTTGCTCACCTTAGGTGGAGCATGTGCAAGAGCCTGCACCGAAGCCAGTGC